ATGTGTGTCTCAAATCTCTTGTGTGTTTTTTTTCTTATATGCATTTAGAGCCTATCTGAGTACTCCAATAAATATTGCCCCATCTCAAGATTCTTAGTTGCACATTCAAAGACTATTTTCCAAATAAAATAACATATACAGGCTATAGTGTCTGGACCAATTAGCAACATCACAATAAATGAGTAAACAGTTGAGATTGCCAAATTTTCTTGGATCCACAATTAATGCTAATGGATGCAGCAGTAAGGAAGTCAAATGAAAAAGTCTATTGGGCAAATCTACTGCAATAGTGTTACAAGCAAAACTGTTATTTTGAAAAGAAAACAACTACGGTGTGCCTTACTCAAGCCATAATGTTTTTAATCACCTTATATGCTTGTGAAAGCTGTACTTGCATGTGTATAAGGACAAGCAAAAAAAATAATGTCTTTGGGTTGTGGTACTAATGAACACTATTGAATTACCATGGACTGCCAGAAAAACAAACAAATCTGTCATGGAAAAAGTGCAACCAGCATTTTCTTTAGAAAAGAGGATGCTGAAACTTCATTTCACATACTTTGGACAAGTCACCAGTAGAGTGCCATCCTTGGAAAAGGACATCATGTTTGGTAGAGTAGAAGATTAGGAAAAGGAGGAAGATCCTCAAGGAGATGGATTGACACAGTTAATGTAACAAGGAGTTCAAACATAGCAACAATTGTGTGGACAATGCAAGACCAGTCAATGGTTTATTCTGTAATACATAAACTACCTGTAAGTCAGAATGGACTGGACAGTCCTTAACAACAACATTTTTGAGTGACTGCTACAAAGAGAAAGACTTGTGAAACTATTCAAAGGATGGGTGGAAGTGACAGGGAAAGGAGTAGAAGATAATATCAAGGAGAGAGAATGGACAATTGATGGAGCTGGAAATTACTTTCATCATAGGGTAGTTTTGATGATTAAATGAGTGGCCTACAATAATCAAGACCATTCTTTCCCCTTTAAAAGAAAGTTGAGGTCGACCTCCTCCATGAGGGATGGACAACATAAAGTGGGTAAAGGGAGACATCAGACAGTGTAAGACATGAAAAAATAATAGTAATTTATAAATTATCAAGGGATCATAAGGGAAGGAGGGTGGGAGAGGGAGGGAAAAATGAGGAGCTGATACCAAGGGCTCACGTAGAAAGAAAATGTTTTGAAAAGGATGATGGTAACCTATGTACAAATGTGCTTGACACAATGGATGTATGTATGGATAAGAGTTGTGATAAGAGTCGTATGAGCACCCAATAAAATGATTTTTTTAAAATAAATAAATAAAATAAAACAAAATCATAGACTTAAAAAACTTCGAAAAATAAACAAATAAAAGAAAGTTGAGTGATGCGTGCAATGAATCAATGAAAGAGCTCTTCTAAGATCTGGCATTTTGTACATTGGGACTCTCCCTTGGCATTTCCTAAAAAGTAAATCCAGAAATACAGTGAAGTGAAAAATAGGATGTGTTGGAGTTCGCCGCTGCCTACAGGTTAAGGATTTGGCTGCCTTGTGGAGAACGAGCCATTCCTCATCCCTATCCTTTGCCTCTTTCCACTGAAGAGAATGAGATCGCACTTTTTCAGCCTCCATTAGAGCAAATGTGGATGTCTGGTCAAGAATCCAGATGAAAGAATTTCTAGGTCAGCTTTTATTCTTTTATTAAGAGGCAGGTGTAGTTAACACCACCTCTCCCTCTTTCCCTCTTCCTCCCATCCTAAAAAAATGGATGCTATGTTGGAACCTCCTTAGCCATTTCGCACAAGATTCATAAATCATACCTTGAGGATAGAGGAGCAGCACCATGAGTAGACACTGAATCTTTAACTCTGAATTACTTGGTGTGTGTGTTTGTGGTGAGGGGGATGAAATCCATTCTTAAATTCTGTTATTTAGAACCAGGAACATATTAGCTGCTGTGATGTCTTCCCTATTAATAAGAGAGATGAGTAGTTCTTGTGTTTGCAGCCAGAAACTCACTTTCCTCAAATACCTTCCTTCGGCTTAGCCAACAATGCAGGCTCCAAATTAGGTCCATCTTGCTTTGGAGGTTGTAAAGCAGAGAGCAGAAGCATCTTTTCTTCCCATTGTTCTTTTCTAGCTCTCTGTATATTTGCTTTCCCCTTGATACTGTTTCCTCAATTTCATCTTTTCTTTGCCTGGCTACAATTACCCTCACAATGCCCTCTTTCCTTTTCTTGAGTGTCTGAAAGATGGCTGTGTCCACTTAACATGAATTTTCCTAGTGTGATTGAATTAGGTCAATTTCAAAGACAGGTTTAATGTTTTCTGCCAGGCTATGAAATTCTTCCCAGCTTTTTCCACATGTCCCTGAAACATCTGCCAGAGTATGCGGTACCATTAGCACCAATTGCCTTAGGAGATGCTTAATGGTCCCTTCGTACACTATGACTGTAAACTGAGCATAAACTGGTTGCTAAATTAAATCCTGTCCATGAAAACAAAGAAAGTTGCAATATGAAAGTTTGGTTTTGTAGCCATAATAGTAAACTTCAGTCATCTGATAACAGAATATTTTCCAGAGATAGATTATCTCTGGAATATCCTGCTGAGTTGCATGCCATCCTTATCAGTTTTTTCTCACCAACTTATTAAAATAGAGCTATTAGCTAAGATTGCTGTCTTAGTTCTATTTATTTGCTTGCTTTGTTTATCACTATTGCATGAATTGCTCTAAATTGTTAAAAATCATTTTATTGGGGTCTCTTACAGCTCTTATAACATTTCATATATCTTGAATTGCTATAAATGTTTAACAAAACAAAAAATCTCACTGCTGTTGGTTCTGATTCATACTAACCCCATAGAACAGGGTAGAATTACCCCCATGGATATCTGAGACTCTAACTCTTTTTTTTTTTTGAGACTCTAACTCTTTATGAGAGTTGAAAGTCTCATCTTTCTCCTACAGAAAGATTGATGTTTTTGAACTGCTGACTTTGCAGTTAGCAGGCCAACACAAAACCACTCCAATGCCAGGGCTCTTTTAGATTTGAAATATGCGATATTTTATTTCTCGTGTGCATGGGAGTGTTCAAACATCTGTGGTGTTACATAAGTTGTACAACACTTGTGGTTTTCAAGTAAGAACTCATTCTATTGACTAATCTGTAGCTTTTGCAATTTTTAAAGACATGTGCTGCATTTTTGTTACACTCAATTTTATGAACCAGTAATTCTTCTCTTGAAGACATAAAGATATTTGTAAAATTTAAATTGGAACTAGCAATTTTCTAAAAGAGAGACCAGTCTCTGGAGAAGGACATCATGCTGGGTGAAGTAGAGAGGCAGCAAAAAAGAGGTAGGTCCTCAAGGAGATGGATTCAAATTATATAGGTATTTCTGAGTGTGAAGTACGGAAGTCCATAGAAATTGCTGAGCCTACCCAAATACTCAGCAGAAACATTTAGACCTGAAATGGTTGGTAAGATTTTTGTAAGTACAATCTTATTGGATCA